TTTATTTGCACACGCTAGGCCCTTGTTCTTGCTATTTCGCGAACGCTAGGCCCTTGTTCTTTTTATTTTGCACACGCTAGGCCCTTGTTCTTTTTATTTTGCACACGCTAGGCCCTTGTTCTCCCTATTTCGCGATCCGCTAGGCCTTGTTCTTTTTTATTTTGCACACGCTAGGCCCTTGTTCTTTATTTTGCACACGCTAGGCTTTGTTTGCTATTTTGCACACGCTATGCCTTTGTTCTTGCAATTTTGCACACGCTAGGCCCTTGTTCTTGCAACTTTGCACATTGCTAGTGTGAAAATGAGTAAGCAGAATGGATGAAACTATGAATGAAAGCAGTACAAATATGAAACCCTAACTGGGGTTGTACCCCCTATGGGATACCCACTACAGCCTACACAGCAGTATAAGCGATAGATATGTTCTGACACACCCCCATAGGCAAAGTGGGGGAGAACAAAGGGGTCACAAGACCAGTCAAGCAAGAACAAAGCAAAGCTCAGGGTGGATCACAAAGTCACCACACAGTCATGAGCACAAGAGCAAGGCCAAGGCCGTTCACAAGCAAGAGTACAGACATATATATATAAAACTAGACAAGCAAGAGCAGGTATATATATATGTCACAGTACAAGTAAGTCAAGAGGGAGCAAGTGAGGCAAGACAGGCACAAGACCCAGCTGGGTGCAGAAGCGCTATGGTCACAAGGCGGCGAGTGCCTTGGTGAACACATCAGCAGTGTTGGCCTCAGAGGCCACGTACGCAAGTCGCAACTGACCACGCTGCTGCAGCTCACGAGCAAGGAAGTAGCGGAGAGCAATGTGCTTCGTTCTGTGCTCCAAGCGCTGCTCTCGACACAAGGCCAGCATGGCCTTGTTGTCTACGTACAGCACTGGAGGAGAACGAGGCGGCTCTCCAAGGTCAGTCAGCAGGTAGGTGAGCCAGCGAAGCTCCTGTGCAGCCATGGCCCCGGCGTAGATCTCAGCCTCACAACTGGAGCCGGAACCGAAGACGAGCGAGTAGACCGCCACGAGACAGAGCCGGAACCAAGGCTGAAGGTGTAACCCTGTGACGACCGCTGCGTAGCCTGGTCGTCAGCCCAAGAAGCGTCCGCGTGGCCGGTAAGGACCACTGGACTCCGCCCTCCAAGCACTAGCCCCATGCCCTGACGTACTGCACAGGTAGCGCAATACCCTCTTCGCTGCAGCCATGTGCTCCGGTCTGTGTCTCCCAGGAGCAACATAGCGCTGCAAGAATGCTCAGAGGGTATGCAAGGTCAGGTCGTGTGCAGGTCATCAGGTACATGAGGCAGCCAACAAGCTCTGCATACGGACCACTCGACTCTACGGACTCATCCGAAGGCAGAGCTGAGAGTGAGTGGCGAGTAGGCAGAGGAGTGGCCTGAGGCGAGGAGTACGTGAAGCCGAAGCGCTGAAGGACCTGCTGCACCATGTGTGACTGAGTCAAGGTAATGGTGCGGCGTGCTCTGTCCCGAGTGATCTGCAAGCCAAGGTAGCTGCGCAGTTCACCCAGGTCTGTGCACGTGTGTCTCTTCAGCAGCTCGGACTTCACGTAGGCGAGTCCAGCAGTGTCCGCTGTGGCAAAGACCAAGTCGTCGACGTACACGAGGATGTAGAACGGCGGCAGGGAAGTGTCGGTGCGAAGAAACAGCGACGGGTCAGCAGTAGAAGGAGCAAACCCAAGAGCCGCAAGCGTAGTCCTCAGTGTGTCGTGCCACTCACGCGGTGCCTGGCGGAGACCGTAGACTGGCCGTCGGAGGCTCCACTGGGTGCCAGGAGGGAAAGTCCCAGTGAAGCCAGGTGGACGGCGAAGCCAGATCTCCTCGTGCAGGCTACCCTGCAAGAACGCAGTGCTGAAGTCGAGAGAGTGAAGCTCGTAGTCGCGCTGAGCGGCTATGTGCAGCAGCACCCGAAGAGTAGTCATCTTCGGGGTGGGAGAGAAGGTCTGAAAGTAGTCAACTCCCTGCCGCTGACTGAAGCCACGAGCAACGTACCGTGCCTTGAAGACAGGTGGAGAGCCCGGCGGCCGCTTCACCCTGAAGATCCACATGCCACTGACGATGTTCGCCCCAGGAGGGGGAACCGCGTCAACGTAGGTGCCTGTGGACTTCCAGGAAGCCATCTCTGCATCCATAGCTGCCTGCCACTGAGAGGAGTAGGGACCCTCTACGGCCTCCGCGTAAGAACGCGGAGTCGGGATGTCTAGTGCATCCGGGTCTCCCTCAGGGGCAAGCAGTACAGACGCGAGATGAGGTGAAGCAGCCGCTAGACACTGTAACTCCTCCTGCCTGTCCTCTAGGACGTCCGTGCCAAGAGCACACTCACCCCCGACGGACGGGAGGACAGACAGACGCAGACTCAGCAACAAGACTAGCAGCGTAGTCGAGACGACAGCGAGCAGCAAAGTCGACGAGCTCAGCGACTAGAGCAGACGCAGCAGTGGACTCAAAAGAGGGGTCAGTGACGACAGTAGCAAGCAGACGCGTGACAGTAGGACTGGCAGCACGAAGAGAGTCCGACTCAGGGTCGCAAGCGCAGGAAGAGAGGACTCAGGAGGAGAAGGCAAAGGGGCACGCAGAGGAGCAGTGGACGGACGCAAAGACATCCGGTGCGTGCCAGGGACAGGAGGAGGACGCTGACGCGAACTGCGACCACTAGCGCGAGCAGCACGAACAGGCGACGCGGGACGAGACGCAGGCTCACGACGCTCAGCAAGACCTCCAGTAGGACCAGTGTAAGGAGAGGGAGCAGGCAGTGGAGAGGAAGGCTCCAGCAGGGACTGCGACTGGACAGGCGGTGGACCCTCTACTGGAGGAGAAAGACCAAGAACCTGCTGCTAGGAGCGGAACGAAGTACGGCCGAGGCCGCGCGGCAGCTCCAGACTCAGCAGGGACAGCACCAGCACCCTCAGCGACAGCACCAGCGCCACCCACACCTCCAGCGGCAGGACCAACAGCAGCTAGGCTCAGCACGAACGCCCTCAGCAGCTCCGCTCCAGGAGGACCCGCAGGTCCAGCAGCTCCGGGACCGGCAGCACCCGCACCCTCGACGGTCGAAGAAGCTCCAGCTCCAGCTCCAGCAGCACCTCCAGACTCAGCAGCACGCCTCCAGCGGCGAGCGAACCACTCGCGCAGCTCCTGTGGAGAGAGGGGCTCCCGGCGAGACGCAGCAGCAGGAGAAACCCCAGGCTCAGCAGCTCCAGACGCAGCTCCAGCTCAGCACCCCCAGGCTCAGCAGCTCCCGACCCAGCACCCCAGACCCAGCACCTCCAGGCACAGCACCCCCCGGCTCAGCACCCCCAGGCTCCGCCACCCTACCGCAGTAGCACCCTCAGGCCCAGCACCCCCAGCAGTAGCACCCCCAGGCTCAGCACCCCCGCGCACAGTACCCCCAGAGTCAGCACCCCCAGGCTCAGCACCCGCAGCAGCACCAGAGTCACCAGTAACCTCGACCGGGTCAACGGCGTCTACCTGGGACACACCTGAGGGGGCAGGAACCTGAGGGGGGAGGGGGTCTACCGGGGGGGGAACCGGCACAAGGAAGTCCGGGGGAGGGGGGAGGGAAGGAGTGCGGTAGGGGAAGAGACGGTAGAAGGGGACTGACTCGTCGAACGTGACGTCCTGGGAGGACAGAACACGACGAGAGGAGGGGTGGTAAAACTGCCACCCTGGGGCGTCAGTGGGGAAGCCAAGGAAGACACAGGGAAGCAGCACGAGGGGGACAGCTTGTCCGCAGACAAGTCGCGGACAAACGCCCGAGATCCCAGACACGGAACACAGACGCATCGCCAACCTTCCCCGTCCACAGCAAGGCTGGGGACATCGCAGGCCGAGAGACCCGGGGGTGAAGGTTGAGCTGATGCGCCGCGTACCTCACCGCAAACCGGCCACAGAAAATGGGGGGCAGCCGCATGCATCATGGACGTACGAGCGACATCCATGACCATGCCAATGCGGCGCTCAGCAATCCCATTTTGCTGTGGTGAGTCCGGAAGCGTGAAGGTCTGGCGGATCCCCCGTGCACGACAGTAGTCTCGCAGAAGGCGAGAAGAGAACTCTCCGCCTCTGTCAGAGTGCAGACGCAGAACAGGAAAGTCCGAGCCGAAGCTCTTCCTGAGCTGGAGACGAGCCTCGCGGATCCAGTCGATCAGCACCTCAGTGACCGCACCCTTGCTGCGCAAGGGGAGGACTGTGGTGTAACGCGAGTAGTCGTCAACCACCAACAGGAAGTAGCGCTCGTAACCCTGCCCACGGACGGGGGCTGGGCCCCACACATCCATGTGAAGCGTCTGCAGGGGAGCCTCTGTCGGGGGGAAGTGGGAGGAGTGAGGAGTAGCCCGGAGGCGACCCTCGACACAGGGGACACAGGAAGGTCCTGGCCCGGAGGGGAGAGGAGGGAGAGACTGGGGAAGACCAGAGACAAGGACACGGGAAGCCATGCTCCGAAGACGGGGCAAGGAGGGGTGGCCAAGCGGTGGTGCCACAGGAGAGGTCTCGTGAGACAGGAGGCGACAAGAACAGGGGGCAGACTCAGGACCTGACCGGGACGCAGCAGCAAGTACCTGACCCGACGCAGCCACCTGACCAGACGCAGGGACAGGAGGAGACTCAACGGTCAGGGTGTAGAGACTCGACCCCGGCCGACGCTGAGAACGTGGCCAGGTGTCGGCCTGTGCGGCCTCCGTGCAGTGGGTCACCCGCTGACGCGCAGGAGTGAACTGGTGAACACCCCCATCCTGCAGGTCCGCTCCACTCACCAAGTTCGTAGAGAACGAGGGAAGGTACAGACCCGACAGGGTGCCCGAAGGGGCAGCCGGACACGGGAGGACAGTGGAGAAGTGAGACAGGACAGGACCCCCAGAGGGGTCAGCAAGGGAGACCGCAACCGGCCTGGCGAGCGGCGTAAGGGTAGTGCGGTCTCGAAAGAAGGAGCGAGAAGCTCCGGAGTCAAGTGTGAAAGTGAGGGAGGACGAGGACGACTCAGTACCTGAGAGCGCAGTCTCACCAGTACCTGAGAGCGCAGACGCACTGGCACCTAGAGCAGCAGCCTCACAAGCACCTAGCGCAGCAGTACCAATGCCCGGGTCGGGCTGGAAACACCGGTAACCCTCATTCTCCTCACTATAATCCACAACATACATAGCAGTAAGGATAGCATCAAAATCAAGATCAAAGATCGCTACACCAGCCCTGAGAAGCTCATCCCAGCGAGGGATCTCACTAGCCCCAGGGAACTGCTGACGCCAAGCAGTCCGTCAGGCGGCCAAAGCAGCGCTGGGTGGCGTGGGCACCCCCACACTGCTCACCCGCTGCGGTCGCCGGAACGAAGAACGTAGGTGCAGGGACCAGTACCCCCACCCCTCTGACGCCCAGCGTACCACTCACGAAGCTGCTGAGGCGGAGGGATGTCCCGCGAGCGCTGCTGCTGCTGCCGGCTGCGATGCGCTGGCCACCACCACCGCCCGCTACGCTGCTGAGTACCACCCCGACCAGCTCCACCTCCTCCACCACTACCTGCCTCCTCCGCTGCTGCCTCCACCTGCCTCCACCTCCGCCGCCTCCACCTACCGCCGCTGCCTCCACCACCACCGCTGGCACCACCACCACCGTCTCCGCCGACTGCTGCCACCACCACCACCACCCCCGCCACTAGTCCCCGCCGCCACCCCCCACTCCCTCCGCCGCCACCGCCGCCCACCGCCACCGCCCCCTCCAGCTCCACCCGCGCCCTTGGCCCCCTTGCCCTTGCTGGAGCGACGTCTCCCACTAGGGGCAGACGCCGCGCCGACCGACTCAAGACCAAGCAGGTCGGCAGCAGCAGCAGAGGCAACAGAGGGCAGCAAGGGGGAAGGAGAGCACCCCTCAAAGATGGGGGTGCGAGGGTCACCACGAGAAGCACCTACAGCGACTATGCTCTTCTCCGCTGCGAGGAGGGCCTTCTCGAGGAGGTCAGACAGGTGAGAGTGGTGGGACAGACTGCGAGGAAAGTGGTCCCTGACGACGCGAAGGGAGTCAGGGAGGCGCTGCGACTACGTAGTAGAGAGCGATGTACATGGGGGGGGGGTTCTTAGCACAGAACTCAGCAGGAAGGGCGGCGCGGTAGCGAGTGTCACCTAGTGCGGAGGTGCGTAATGAGGTCAGCGACAGTGGGAAAGGCAGAGAGGTCAGGAAAGAGGTAGGGAAGCATGAGACGGCTCAGTGCAGCAGTGGCAGGGGAGGAGTAGCGCGCAACTACAGCGCGTACAAGGTCTGAGCACTCTTGTACTGACTAAAGTGCAGCTACGCTCAGAGGTAGGGAGGTGGTCGACGCACAGCAAGACGTGCAGCATGCATCGCGGGTGGCCCACTTAGAGCGGACAGCGGGATCAGCATCAGCAGCAGGAGCAGGAGAGGCGCCAGAGGTGAGGTCAAAGAGAGAAAGTTCATCAAGCCCTGTCGCACTGTAGAGAACAGCTGCAGGTCGTCTAGCCAGACCTCATAAATCAATGGCGCGACCCTCAGCGTCAAAAGCTAGACACTAGGGGTAGCCATGACGACGACTGTGAAGCAAGTGCGAGCAGTAGGGTGGGAGAGAGCACGCAGTGACAGTGGGACTGTGCTCACCAGGCAGGGCAGGTCGCGCAGCTCGACAGAAAAGCAGAACGCAGCGGACCGGGCGGCTCGGGTGTACAGCGAGATCGGCTCCCGGCGGCTCGAGCGGCAGGGCTGCTCGGGTGCAGGGCGGCTCGGCTCCCGGGCGCTCGGCTGCAGGGCGGCTCTGGGTGCAGGGCGGCTCGGCTCCCGGGCGGCTTGGCTGGAGGGCGGCTCGGGTCCCGGGCTGCTCGGCGACAGGCGGCTCGGGTCGCGTAGAAGTGAGACGGGGCGGGGCCGGTCAGGGCCGGCGGTAGGTCCGCGTAGGAGCCGGGCAGGCCGCGAAGGAGCCGGGGCGGGGCCGTGATAGGAGCCGGGGCAGGGCCGAGTAGGAGGCCCGGCGGTGGGGCCGCTTAGGGGCC